TAAAGGCATAATGGGCACCAATGGCCACCGTCTAGTGGAAGTTGGTATTCATGTCCTCAAGTAGTTACACATCGTTGAATGTAATCATGTACATCTTTGAACATCATAGATCACTAATATCGTGCATTCAAAATCTTCGACACTATGTTCTTGGTGGCATAATGTTCTCCTACACCTTCAGTATGCATCAATGCAATAACTCATGCTACTTTTGTGACCTCTAGACAGCGACACAATCGCTCATCCCAGAGTAGTTTGAATAATACCCCGTGTTGAATTTGGTAGGGCCCTGCCTTGTGAATGAAGACGGTACACTGTTCAGTAAGACTGGATGTTGTATGTGTGAAATTGAATTAGAAATAGCCAAGGAGTTAATAATGATAAGCCTAGTTATGACTAAATCTAGCTAGTGATGACTAAGTTTAGTTAGTTATAACTATGTTTAGCTATAATGTCTATACTTGGCAAAATGACTAAAGAAGTTCTAGAAGATTTGAGTGAGCACTTCCATTTTGTCTTGTACAAAAGTCTAGATTCCAAGAGAAAAGACTTTTGACTTCATGTTTAGTTTTGATTGGTTTGACTAAGTAGGTGTACTTCATTGGTTAGACTAAGTCTAATGTTGACTTAGTGAAAAGTAGAAGTTCTAGAAGTTGGAAAGTCACAAATAACATGTCGCCACCTCAATCTAGGCATTAGTAAACATCTAGAAGGTTTAGAAAGCCAGTGACATGTTGACACATATTGATAACTAGTCAACCTTACTATGGTTTATCTTTGTAAAAGTAAATTAGATAGATATTAACATTTGTTACTATGGTAATTTTTCAAGTAGTATATCTAGAGAAGAGTGAAGAATTTTGAGTAGAAAAGTGATCTTAAACACCGAAAAAGTATTTTTGAAAGTATTTTTCAAAATTTTAATTGATTGTAGAGTGAAAGATATAGAATGTTTTGATTTTTGTTTCAGGTCTAGATCATGTGTTAACAAAAAGATATGAGAATTAGAAAATGATGGGAATTTCACGGGTACCAAAATTTTGCTCTTTGTAAAGTTTGTACCGACTAAATATTTTTTTTTATTCCAAGTTAGTCTTTGAAACTTCTTACGCGTGTGTATTGGAAGATAACCTACGTGCGAATAAGAATTTCATTTAGAGATCACGTCTAGAGAAGAAGTTATGTTGATTTGAAGTTTATGGGGTACAAAATCAAGATAAGAGATGAAAAGTTTTGGATTTCCTTATTAGCAGTTTTTGTCATGTAGATAGCGTTTTTGGAAGAGCCTTTTTGAGTGGTTTCCATCTTATGGAAAAATGAGTGAACAAGGGGGCTGGAAAGTTAGGTTATCCAAAGTACCTCAAGGCTTGAATGTTATAGTCTCTTTGGATTTCAATACAAAAGAATTCAATGTGGAGTTTGAAGAAAGAGTAGTACGTCAATCCCCAAGAGTCAAATGTGAGATTTGCTTTTATTGTGGAGAGGAGGTACATCAGCTTGTCAATTGTTCCCTGCAGTACAAAGATAAAAGATTGAAGAGCAATAGGAACTTGGGAGATTTGAAACTTCACTTCGGACCATCATCGCCACATGAATCTCAGAGCGCGACTTTCTGTGACAATTGTGTAGTGATTGAATTACCAACGGGACACGAATGCTACAGAGTGAATGTGCTTCTAGAATCGTTTTTAAAAGGTTTTGAAGGCAAGCTAAGTGCTGAAACGGAGAAAGTGACATCAGCTGGTTCAACCTCCAACTGAAGATAGAGATCTTCATTTGGATGATGAGAATAGTGACACACATGGAGAGAGAGAGTTTAGGGAAGTGTTTTCTCTGAGTAAGTGTTAGTATTGCTGGGAAAACAGGAGTGATTATTTCCGTGTGTATTTATCACCGGACAGAAATCTTGTAATGACGGTAGGAAGGTCAAGTGGACACTGATCTTGGAAATATACTCGGAACTACCTTCATTGAGGAGTTCACGGGGACTAGGCTTTCAACCTGAACCTCGTCAACAAATTCTTGAGTTCGTTTATGTGTGGACTGTGATATATCACTTGACTGCAAGCATCCTCGGAGTTAAATTATATGAATACATCTCACTCATGAATTCCAGAATTCGGCTCATGACAATTCCATCAAAAAAATTCGGAACAAACCTGATGTCTAAGACATGGACCTTGAAGAACAACACAATGATGTAAAGGAAGAGAGAGAGAAACATCCATGACGACAAAGCGTTTATTATGATTATGAGACTTACTTGCGGAGAAAATCAATGGGACGTGAACGCCAGCTATTTTTTCAGTATGTTCAGAGGTACCTCCCTAAAAGGACTGACATACATGAACAGAGCTTCCAGCGCTAGCCCTGATGGCAGGACCTGTATTCTTGGTATCTAGTATCAATACTTTGTGAAAATTCCCTCACGCGAGCGTTTCAGAAAAATGAATCGGGCCAGTATTGAAAGAGATTCTCTAGTCCCAATCTTGACGAATGAGAAATGGGACGAACTCGTCATACACATGTTGAACGCTCTCCTGTTCTCTTTCATTATGGCAATTGTGTGCAAGCATTCAGTCTGAGAAGATGAATAAGTTGCAATGAAGTCCAGTTAGCAATCGACCAGAGGTGAACGCCTTTGAAGACCCGATGATGTTCATCTTTTAAGCTAGAGTAAGTTTGGGATTCGGAGTTGACTTCATCACCATATGACATGAACCTCTAATCTTTCTACGAAGTACTCGAGGCTCACCACACATCCTCACATAGTCATGTCGCCCGCTGTCTGTTACAATCATCACCACACGATTCACTTCCCCTGCCTAGAGTATCTAGTCAGTCATGGCGATCAGGTGGTATCTCATGTGATCTAAATTACAGGTGAGATTTTCTGATTCTGATTGGGATGTGATTTGGATCATGCTTAATTATTCTGCCCGCCCTGTACACCGCTGACTACATTATACAACCATTATCGATCATTGTTTTTCAGTTAGCTCTTCGACCATTAGATTTTAAGTCTAGAGCATTTGTTCAGAATTTGGCATGAGTTGAGCCAATGCTTGGTTCGAAGGTCCCCACGTACATCGGTTGATTGAAACAGAGGAGTTAAATGTGAGAAGACTATTCACCTTCAGAGTGTCGAGCACAGGGTCCGAAATCTCCTTCCATGACGGAGTGGTTAGCAGCAATATGAGTCCAGCCATCTGATGACGGGAGAAGAACTTCGGATGAAATCTACCTTAGGGTGCGCAGGGCCTTCGGCATACTCTTTGATAGAGGGAGGGAGTGAATTGTACATTTATGGAGTCATTGGAGCCGACTGAGCAGGAGACCCCAAAGGCAGAAGATCAACTGCCTGATCTCATATGTGTTTTGTATAAGCAGAAAAATAATCACTTTGGCAATGTTTAGCAGACAAGAGCTTTCCGCAGCAGTATCCCTCACTGAAGCATTCAACAGAGGGTTCATGGATTCAGCTCAGAAACATTCGTAGATTCATGGACAGATCGGGAAGCTGGAACGGAGAAAGTACTGTTGGCATGGATCTCATAGTACGGTGAACTCCAACTGTTCAGTCCTCGACCCTCAAAATTCATATCTACACTTTGTCCAAATTTAAGCATTAGTATTTGCTTGTTGTGGCATTCACGCTACACACTCTCTTACATTTGCATCTCCACGATGTCCGAGTGGGGATGATTATTTTTCTGGTTTACTTCTGAGAGAGTGACTTGAACTTCTTCGTTTTATATCTGTCCCCTGTTTCTCGAAATGCAGTGCGACAAATTTGTCGAAGCCTGATCAGAGGACATCCCTGCCTTTCCAAATGGGTAACATTACCCTGAATCACGGCTTTTACCATTTTCCATTTACATGGTTTGACTTTTAGCCCACTTGAATTTGCTAATGTGGTGCTAAGAGTCTCGAGAATTGACGAAATTCCATAATTGTAGAGGCGCCAGATAAAAGAAGGTAGCGGTCACATTCTTCCAGATATCATCCTGCACTGATGTCGTGATGCTAAAAGAGAGCGTAAACGATGTGACTGGGTTCTGAAGTTACTGAAATGGAGGTCGTCAAGAAGCAGTCCTCAGGTGAGTGAGATCGAAAGCCATTGTCCACTGTCAACATTCTCTTATGTGTCTTGCTCATGTATCTCAATCAATGGCTGATCTCTTGGTTATGGACGTTCTCTATCTTGAAAGTAGCTCAAACCTCCCCTAAATAGCTCTCAAGTTCTACAGAACGACCTGACAGCTTAAAATGGTTTAATAGCAAGAACAGGCAACAAAGGTTCCTTCGAGCCTCCTTCCATTATCGATCGGATCTTCCGGATTAGTTTCACACAAATTGTTCGAAATGAGCAGATTTGAGGTGGTTCGAATTCGGAGGATTCAAGTCTTATGGCGATCAAATGAACTGCTTCGAATTCAGTCGAGGTGTAGATCCGAGAAACTCACAGCAAAGGCATGCTGCAACATGGACAAGGACGACGGTTGTAAGTTCAGAGAAGAGAGAGGTAGGTTCTGCGTGATGGAGGGCATGCTTCTCTGTCTTGAGAGCCAATTGGAGTCTGTATGATCTGGCCATTCCTTCGGCAACGAGGGTGGAGGAAGTCTGCTCTACGACTCGGAGGACGGTCTCAAAGGCACTTGACATTGCTCCACTCGTATCGCGAAGACTGCAAGAAATGAAAAGAAATGACATTTGTCAGTTGCTCATGACGCCATCATGTTCAGGTGAGCCAGCTGAAGCATGGATCATGTTTCAGACGGTGCCATGGCCACGGGAAGCTTGGGTCGGTTATCTCCAGGTAAGACCAGTGTGGCGAAAGAGTCATTCAGACTGAAAATTGGAAAGCAGGAAGACTGCAAGAAATGAAAAGAAATGACATTTGTCAGTTGCTCATGACGCCATCATGTTCAGGTGAGCCAGCTGAAGCATGGATCATGTTTCAGACGGTGCCATGGCCACGGGAAGCATGGGTCGGTTATCTCCAGGTAAGACCAGTGTGGCGAAAGAGTCAATTCAGACTGAAAATTGGAAAGCAGGAAGATGGTCTCAGGCTCGACATTCTTCAGCCAATTAGCGTATGGCTGCCACTCTGAATGCTGAAACAAGTCCTGATCTTAAACTAAACCATCCTCCTTGGAAGGCATTCGACGCTCAGTCTAATGCTCCTGATGCAATCGATGTCCATGGATAAGACGACACTCCCATGACGCTGTGAGCTACGCCAGGGATGCGGAATCAGCATTTTCTGGAGCTCAAATTGTGCTGGGCTCGAAGACAAGTCGGATTGGGCATTCTGCCGCCAGACGATCGGAACAATCGACCGACAGACAGACTTCAAGCTTCAGAAAGCCTTTCGTCGCGTACTGTACCGGATTGGACTATTCTGTTGGATGTCAGGCCCTCGTGCCAACCAGAGATGAAATGGATTTGGCCCCTCAGACTCCCACCGTCATGTCTGAAGCGTGATCTTCAAGTGAGAGACGAGACGTCTTGTGTTGAACCTCTTGTCGCATCCGCACCTCAGACACTTACGGACCGTCAATAATTGCTTGCGCCTGTTCTGTTGGTTTCTCCTCGTACTTGGATAGTAGCCTGAATCTCTCCTCCTGTTTTCGAGGTGAGGTTGGGAACGCAGAATTCATAAATCCCGTGTTTGAAACTCTCTCTCTCTCTCTCTCTGACCCCACTTGTGCACTTCCGTGGAGGGTACAAGGCCTCGTAAGGCACCATCTTATGTCTGATTTAATGGTCAATCAGCAGCAGCTGATGAGAGTGGATGCCTCAGTCGGTAGTGCCACGGCATGATCATTACGTCCGACCAGCTGTCCACCGATTTGGTGGCTGTCCTGGGAGGAAGTGCAAAGTGCCGAGAAGCATAATTGGCTGCGCTGTCTAATTGAGGCGTTCCAGTGGCGCTGGAATCGCACACAGCTTTCGCTTCTGCAGGCTTTCATTACATCATGGTGGCACATGAGATCACGACGGTGATGGTGGTGAGACTTTGGGTCGATTATGGATGGACCCGAGAGTGGATTCGTGCATCACAGTACGGGACTGACCGACGAATGATTGCCAGACATGGCGAGACAGGCTTTATAAGAAAGTAAAGCTTCGTGACACCATGTCACGATCATACATCGTACAATCAATCGTCCATCCACTCACTCGGCAGAGCGTTGAAGGCGTTCTCTGCTGCTGCTCGAGAATGCTCGAGCTTCTGCCGGTCTGACATTCTGACACTCGAGTACGAGCCACTCTCGAGAATTCCCATCTGCTGACCTAAGGGACCACGACCTGCCTGCCTACCGTGACATTGACACTGACATCGACATTGCACACCTCGAAGCCAGATGAGGAGGTGCAACCCATGAACATCCTTCCTTCTATCCTTCCACCATCGCCATTCCGCTCGAAAAAACTGGGCCACTTCTCTTCCCTTGCTGCCAGCAGTCCTTCGCTACGAGGTTTGAACCCTTGAACCCCACGGAGCTGTGGCGCAATTGATGCTCGACCGCAAGCTAGTAGTCAGAGAGCAAGTTGTGGGACATGACAAGTGGATTTGCCCTGAAGCGTCCGGAAGATTTCATGCTCGATCACTGTAGTGATGGTGGATCGATCGATCGGCCCATCGGTCGATGCATCAGCCACGTTTCCAGGAAAGGTTGGCTCGGCCAGCCCTGTGACAAAATCGCGTAATCGAAAAGGCGTTTCTCAGCTTTTGGCAGAGGCATTGCATCCCCCCCTTACGTCGGCATGATCTGGGCTCGCTCGCTCGCTCCAATCATGGCGCCTGCCTGAGTGTCCAGCGCTTCGAATCCTCGTCCTCGGCTGTCGATTCTCACGTCCACCGCTGCTGCGTGCTTTGGATGGAGAGCTGGCCCAGCAAGTGCCGTGTCGCTGCCTGCGGCTCGCGCACGCAGCCGCCCGGCAACAGGAACCGAAAGTCCTCGATGTGCTCGATCAGATACGCCGGCAGGTTGACAGCGGACGAGGATTTGGGCACAGGGCCCATTTTGCTGATGATTTCGCGAAAGGTGTACTCCTCTGGCAGCATGTCGAACAGGTCTCGGCCCTCGCAGATGATGGCCTGAATTCTGGCCGGGTCGAGAAAGAATTGGTGGCGCACTCGGTCCGCGTGGCTGTACGCCAGCATCTTGAATTGGATGTCGCTCAAGTGGCGGAAGCAAAAGCTGCACCGCCGAAACAGAACGAGCACGCCACGAAATTTGCTGTCAGGAAACAGAGCCACTTCCCATTTCTTTCCAATTCTTTCCATCGCTGCCATGTCAAATCCGCGATGTGAACTTCGATCCATGTCAATTGTCGGATTGACTGGCTCGTGCTATCGATCGTGCGGGATTTCTCGAAACAGAATTCTTTCATATCCAGTTCCGAACATCGCGTCTAATTAAGACGATCGACCGACCAGCACGAGAGGAATTTCAAATTTCGAATTTCGAATTTCAAAGCGGCGACGTGACATTGACAGATTCGCAAATTGAGCTCGAGATGGGAAGGTGGGGACTGACCTGCAATGCCAACCGGAGTCGGCGAGCATGAAATCGGAGCGGCGCTTGTGAGTGTAACCCGTGGTCTCGGGATCGAAGATATGGACGCTCGCGCGCCAGCTGCTGTAATCGACGGGGAACTCGAACGAATGAATGTAATTCTTCATCTGCAAATGCAGCGGCGCTTGCCAGCCGTCGCACCATCGGAGCAGCTCGATGGAATGCGCGCTAGGGATCTCGTCCACGTCCGACATGATGAGCAGGTCGTTGTAGCCAATTCCGGCTTCGACGATGATTCGGCTCGTCTCGCGCCGCTGGAATCGCTCGAGCAGGAACGGATCCTCGCCGGGCAGGAGCTCGCGCCCTCGAGCTCGGCCATACGCGACGCGGTCCTGGACGAACTCGAAGCGCTGGCGATTCTCGGCGAAGAAGAGAGGCTTCTTGCGGCCCGTGAAGGTGCGGTCCGACTCGACGATGACGAAGCGGTGCACGTGCGGCTGCAGCTCGTGCAGGCGGATGTCGAGCAGGTCGAGCTCGTTGCTGAACAGAATGGCGTCGAACACTCGGCGCGGCTCGAATCGCACTTTCCAATTGTGCAATTCGCAGCGCCGCGCGACGCTGATGTTCGCCGCGTAGTAGTGCGGGTAGACATTGAAGGGCGGCGCCGGCGTGTCCCAGACCGGGCGCAGCAGGTACGCGAGCTTCAGGCCCTGGAAGTAGATGAAGACGACCAGCGTGCCCCCGCAGAGCGCGCACAGCAGCAGCAGCCAAACAATCCTCTGCCTGCTCCATCGCCTCCATCGCCTCGCCGCCTGCGCCGCCTTCCCTCCTCCTCCATTCATCTCTCCCCACCTTCCTGCCGATTCATGGACGAGGCGCAATTCCCCCGCGGCGCAATTGCCCCGGCGCTAACCGCCTCAACCGCATCGCCCCTCGACCAGCCGCTCCTCCATTGCTCGACATTGCGCTCGCTCCCGCCCCCTGCCCGACAGCAGCAGCAGCAGTCGCCACCTCTGGGACGGGATTCGCGATTTGAATAAGGCCCCGAATATCGGACATTCTGATGGGCTTCATTTCTTGAGCGCCCGTGAGGACCAAATTGGCACCGCGTGTAGCGCGTGAAAGGGAGGGAGGGAACCAGCGATGGGTATGTATTAAACCAGAGTATTATTCACACCGTATAATTTAATATAATACAGACCTTAAAAAATCGCATTGTATTTTATTGTACTAAAATCTACTATCCTCTTTCCCTTGCACCTCCTCATCACTCACGATCGCGAGTAATGAAAGTCTCTTGACTAAAGGTTACTTCTTGTAGTGGTCAAATTATTACCAACAAAATTTAAACTCTTTATAACGCACTTTCGAGCAATGTACAAATTGAAATTTGTATAATACTGCATTAAATTCACGAAATTTGGGCTATTATTGTCATACCCATCCCTCAGGGAACCCCCGCGACGCTGGCATGGCGCGCGCCGTCTGTCTAAGGTGGGGAAGGACGGTCGCGCCGGGGTTGATCCGGGCGGCGCGACCCGCTTCCACCCTTCGGCGTAAAAGGGTGGTCGTCATCGTGACCTCCGGAGGCGCATCGAAGGGCGCGCGTGACTCGAAGGAAATCATTGCGCTCGGCACCAGCTTCCACGGACGCTCACTCACTCCACGTGAGTGAGCCGCGACGAAGGACTTTGCTTACGGTCGAGGGACGACTTTTCAGCTTTTAACTGAAGCCTCTGCTTTCCGATAGCGAGCGGCTCACCGGTGGTGCCCTGCTGCAGATCTGGGTTTCGGGTCGACGGTCCCGGTCGTCGAGGCCGGTCTCTGCGACGACCGACGGATCTGCTGTGCCGTCGCGACATATTCGCGTCAACTACTGGTGCCTGATCTTCGCCGACTTAGAGACCCAGTTCGCATGGTAGACGGGGGCAACCTTCGGGAAATCAGACTCTGAAGTGTTTAATTTGCACATCAAAGAGATATTTTAATCGTTTCCATGACTAGAAGTGATCGAACAGAGAAAGGAATTCAGGTTCCGGAGATCTGAATGAACAATAGAACATGGTGGCCGAAGTCCATTTCTGATGCTTCACTTGTGAACAGAAAGGCGTGTAATAAAGTGGCACCCCACCGCATCCGAATCGGCTGAAAATAGTCTGGTCTAGTTAGATTTATGAAAATTAAGTGAAATCTATTTCACTTGATTTTTTTCAATTTTTGATAGAAAAAAATACTAAAAGCATTAAATAATGAGTAAATTAAATTCAATACATATTAGTAAGAAATGATTTCACTAAATTTCTTTACAAATTTTTGATGTCTTATGAAAATATTAACCGGAAAAAAATATATCATGGCACGTGTAAATTCCAAACCATTACAACTCATCTTTTAATGATCACAATGTCTTCTGTCATTCAATTTGAAAATCAAGTAAATAAATGTACCTATGCGAGGGCTAGTAGAAGAAATCGTGACTAAGTAGCTCCCGGTTTTCATCCGGTTGTGAGAGAAGTTCACTGGCTGTCACCGGTTGTGCGGAAGGTATGTGTGTCCATTACCACGTGATTCTCTGTGTCAGTAGGTCGAACTTTCATAACATTATATCCGTCGCTGTAAGACATATTTCGCGGTGACTGGCCCCACGTTCAAAGACGGGCACTCCCGTCATTTTTCCCGTAGTACTTTTGGTACTCAAAAATCATTTTTTGGTAATGGCGGCGTTTCATTAGAATGATACTTTCGGATGAAATCTGCGTCCCGAATGAAATTCCTGCTTTCGTCGGTATTTGGCGCGCCGGTCGCAAGACGCAGATCCTGCGACGTCGTCGGCGAACGATGATTCATCATTGATTCTCTGAGAGCTTTCATCATTGTTCGGTATTGGTAGTTGTATGAAATAAAAGCCGGATGCAAACAAAGAACACTGACAATGGAGAATCTATTGTCAATATCTTTGCACTACTTAGTCACGAATTCTTCTACTAGCATAGGTACATATATTTACTTGATTCCCAAATTTACTGACATAAGATACTGTAATGATTTAAAAAAATGAGTTGTAATGGTTTGGAATTTACATGTGCAATAGTATTTAAGCTTTTTTCCGATTATATTCGCATAAGACATAAGATATCAAAAAGTTTTTAAAAATTTAATGAAAACATTTCTTACATCTATGTATTGAATTTAATTTACTCAGTATTTAATGCTTTCATTATTTTTTATATCACTTTTTGGAACACTCAAACAATTTCACTTAATTTTCATAAATTTAACCATGGTTAATCAAACTATTTAAATAATATATTTTGAAAGAGTTCGCATAAACTGTCTACTGCACAATTTAGGTTTCAATATATTGTAATGTTAATTCAGTGAATGTGATCTAGTTCAGGCAAGGCTTAAATCTCATGTGTCCAATCTTTGAAATTACTTGTTAATATGAATGTTGGTCTTGAACTTCTGATGGATTGTAAGTTGTGAATGATATCAACATGAAAAAAATACAAAATTAAGGCAAAAACTAAACTCTGAAATTCAAATAGATAGGAAGATGTGAATGAATATCAACATGGAAAGAATATTCATTGAAGACAGATAAAATGATTTCGTAATGCATTTCAATTACATTTTCCATCATCTAATATGAATATAACATGATGAAAAGATTATAAACTCAATTCAAATAAAAATTTCGAATCTTACAAAACAATGCAGATAAGAATCCTATGATTCTCAAGATAGCAATATTTATGTCTAGTGATATTATTGAAGTAAACAATGCAAACTTACGGTACAAGCAAACATTAACATGTACACTAAGTTATTTTTGATAAAACTTATCTCTAGAAATTATTATTTATTTAAAATATTCTATAATTTTATTGAATATATAATCACATATAATATTTTTAAATTATAAAGAAACATCAAAATTATAAAATTAAATCAAACAGAATTGAAAATAATGAAAACTAAATATATAAATATACATATATACATATATGTATATATCATATATATATCCAAAGATTTTTTTTTAAATGTCACTTTATTTTTTATAAATTTTTTTATTTTATTTACAATTCATGCATAAAAATTGAGTATACACAAATTTTTCCGTTCAATTAAAAAAAACTGAACTTTGAGGAATAGTATAACCTCGCGGCCTCTTAACCCATGGGGATAGGGAGAATAATGTCTAATGCGTAAAACTAGTAATTGTAGGCCTACGCAGGCCACCCTTAGAAATATAGCCGCTTGTTGCACCGTAGATATTTATGCTATGGTTTGAATGGTAAACAAAAACAATTAATAAAAAATACGAATTATTAGATATGGCTAAAGCTAAACAACTCTATCCCGCAAATCCCATGTCAACCCCGGTTCATATAGTGCCGGAGCGCGGTTCGGACCCAACAATATCCGCTACCGACGGAAATCGGTGCCTTGAGGGCGTTAAGGCTAATCCCTACCGAAACTGGGGAGTGAGTGGACTCCTCCCAAGGGCAAGCTCTTTGGATGGGAAAATGCTCTTTGTGGTTCCTGATACAAGCCCAAGTCGCCTTCTTACTATAATGGGCTGCCGCCTTCACCTCCAATTTAAGTGGTATTATTTTGCTTCCTTTGCTAGGAAGCCTTATTATTTTGGTAACCCGCAGTGATTGTGAAGCTTTTAGTACAAGATGGTATGATATAAAAAAGGGATAAATTACTAGACTATTGGTTATTAGAATATTGATATGGTACAAGAAATTTAAAATGAAGAGTTGATCTTAAACTAAATTAAAATATAATATAAAATTTCAAAATTAATTATTCCAAAATAAAAATAGAACATCATGAATAAATAAAAAATAATTTCTTTCAAAATTAATTAAATAATTTAGTTTAAATAATAAAATATTCAAATTTAAATCAAATTTCAATTTCAATTTCTGATTTCAAAAGCAAAAGAGTAAATTTAAGATTAATGTAATTAAAAAATTGAATATTTGAATATTTGAATTCAAATTATAGTAAAAAGTAGAATTTTTATTTTCATTACTGAAATTGAAATTAGGATAAATTGAAATAAAAAGAAACTTGCCTTAAAATTCATTTCAATTTAATTTTTGTTAAAAACTTACAGATTTCTATTTGAAAAAATAAAATTATTGAATATTTGAATTAAACTAAGAACTAGAATTAGAATTTTTATTTTAAAATCTGAAATACGAATCAGTGAAATATTTTATATTGCACCACTGCACATCAAATGATGTGCATGTGCTTAGAGCAATGCTCTCTGATGACTTCGACAGATTGGCACAAGACTGCGACGTAAGAATTGATCATTGGGATGAAGACATTTAGAGATTTAGACAAACTTTATAACGATGGATGCCTTTATACTATCAACAAGTGAGCTCAAATAGAGTAATCTATCATTTTTATATCACGATTATGAGTGTCCACTCACGATCGTGATGTAAAAAATGATAGAGAAATGCTGGAAAAACAGAAATCACGAGAAGAGCCCATATGTCAAATGCGGATCGATCCAATTTGAACCAAGCTTGTGGTGATGATCTTCAATGTGAGTGTTGGGCTTAAGTACTGGTGCCAAATGCGAAGTTAACAAAAGGGGAGTGCCAGACCCAAATCTGGTATTAAGTGCAACTCTGTTTAATTTATGGTAGCCCCCAAAACTGCTTTGAAAGGCACACACAGAATCAATGATCTTTAGTAACTACAGGCTCCCTAGTAGACAGACCAATAAGATAGCGACATGTGTCAGCACGCGCCTCTGTGCCATTCAATGCATGAACAATTCTTCGCTTTCCGCCACTTGTCGCCGTGGCCGTAGAGCTGCCTCCAATTCTGGTTGGGATTCAAATTCTACGATAGCAACCCCGACGAAGAAACAGATCGTCATCACTCTCGAGAGTACATAATCAATGGGGAATTTAATGGCTAAATACGCAGATCAATTCTTGAGTTGATTTGCGTATGTAATCATTAACTTTCTTACAATTCCATCATTCTGCTTTCGGATAAAAGCAGGCCAGTTCCGATCCAACTCCTCGTCGCGAGATCTAGATTTCTTCAAAGACAAGGCAACGGTTGGCTTTCATCCACCTCCTTCGATTTGCACCTACTCTGCCCTAGCATGACAAGCCCAAGGGTGGTAGAGATCTCGTCGGCTTGTTATAATTAGTGGTACAATACACATTGAATATATTCCTGGTACAATACAAATATATTCAAATAATATATTTGACTTTCAATTCATTTCAAGGTAATATTTATTAATAATTCAAATATTTCTATTTCTATTTTTTTAAATGGTTGAATATTTGATTAAAAATCAGAATTAGAATTTTTATTTTAACTTCTGAAATTAAAATTAAAATAAATTTGCCTTAAAATTCATTTCAAATTAATTTTTATGAATAATTTAAATTTATTAAAAAATTCAAACTAAAATTAGAAATAATTATTAGAATTTATGTAAATATTTGAAATTAAAATTAAAATAAGTAAAATTGAAATAAATTGGCTTTTAAATAATTTTATTAATAAATTTCAAATTATAACTATAAAATTTTAATAATAATTTAAATATATGTATTAAAATATTTTAATTTTTGGATTAATTCTTTTTACATTTTTAGTATTTGAAAATAAAATAAAAATGGACAAATTAAAGTTAATTTACCAAAATCTTAAAAAATATTTAGTTATCAAAATTAGTGCATTAGATTGTTAAAATTTGTAAGTGTAAAACAAAGAAGTGATAGTAAACATTGAAGATGTAATCTACATCCATCCATAACTCTCGGCACTTTACTACATGTCTTGTTAGAAAGACGTTCTTTAGAAGGTGAGCCCTGAGGTATTTATCTCCGGTCCATACGACCGTTTTAGCTATAAATAGCTAGGATTCGAGGTTACTCCTTAACTAGAGTTGATCTCAACAAAATTAGTTTTTTTTCCACATAATTAAAAAAATGAAATCTGTACATGTTTTTACAAAATCAAAAATAAATGTTTTATCTAATTATAACAATATATAATTAAAAATGAAATTATATGCAAATTTAAATCTGAATAATTTTTAAATAATATATAAATCTGATCTAATAAAAGAAATTCATCCATATTTCTCGAATTGCAGGCCTGAATCTGCTTATGCACTCAATGTTCGCACTACAACCTCCGGGCTGACTCTCACTAAGGTTTATCTCATATGGCTTTTCGATGGCTCATCATGGTTCTAGAAGGTTACGATTCCTCCTTATACTCACAATCCAAACACACTCTCACACAATCTTTCAAGGTATTATTCCAACTTACACACACATCGACACTTCAAGGTACTAAAAATTTATCACTCTTTCATATGTGAAACAAGTCTCTACATATGAACTCTCCAAATTTGCTTGAGAATCTCTTCACTAACTCTATATATATACTACTTGAGAATTCACTATAGTAACAAATGGTAATTTCTATTTAACTTACTTTTACAAAGATAAACCATAGAAAGGTTGACTAGGTTATTAGTATGTGGCAACATGTCATTGGCCTCCTAAACCTTTTAGATGTATACTAATCCTTAGATTGAGGTGGCGACATGTCATTTGTGCCTTTCCAACTTCTAGAACTTTCACTTTCCACTAAGTCAACATTAGACTTAGTCTAACCAATGGAATACTCTTTACTTTTTCAAACCAATCAAAACTAAACATGAAGTTAAAAAGTTTTTTCTCTTTGAATCTAGACTTTTGCACAAGAAAAAATAGAAGTGCTCACTCAAATCTTATAAAACTTCTCTAGTTATTCCGCCAAGTATAGACATTATAGCTAAACTAGCTAGATTTAAATCTAGCTAGTAACTAGCTAGATTTAATCATAACTATCATAACCATGATTAACTCCTTGGCTAATTCTAGTTCACACATACAACATCAGGTCTTACAGCACAGCCAGCGCCTGTTGCTCCAATTTCAGTGACAAATTTGTCATTGCCCAGCTTATCTAAAGAATCCAAAAGCCGCAATTGTTTCTCGTCAGCTTATTGAATTCTTTATCAGCTCCTTCCAATCCCTCCTCGCACGCAATCATCAAGAGCTTATTCCTACTTACTACTGCCACTGGAACTTGTGGCCATGCTCTTGTACTACTCAAAAATTGTACATAAAAAACACATATTAGATTCTCAATCATTGATTTAAAAAAAAAATTATATAAAAAAATAAATAAGATATTCACAAGTTTATCAACATTATATTAATTGTTTTAGAGTTTGATGTCAATATGAACTAAGGTCTTAACTCAACCTAGTTAGCTTTATCCCTAGTTAGAATATGTTTTGCTATTCATTACATAGAGGAGCTAAACAAAATTCTCTTCCAACATTTTAGCATTTTTATCAATGAAGTTATTCTAGTGCACGTAATCTACCATCGGCAAACCAAGTAATCCTATGTCAGTATTCTTGTGTATTCTGTGCGTGCTTGTATCAACATGCCTGCATTTTTGTGAGCTTGTGTTTGTATTGTAGTGAAAAGCACCTGAAATTTGAAAATCTACAATATGTAGTTTTGTTGCATCCTCAATGAATATATATGGAATAGTTTAGCTAGCTTAAACTAAAAAATATATGATATGACATAAGAAAAAAATCATACATTTATCAATTTCAAATGTCATATTATAAATCCATAAAAGTATTTATTCAAAATCCTTGTCAAAATTTTGATTAATTTGTGAGTTAAAAATATGTTGATTGTTTTAATCTTGATGATGTCATTGTGTCATTGATTCAAATTTTAAAAGCTCTTGTAACATTATCTTCAAATTTACATTGTAACTATAAAACATGATATATTGTTTAAAAATCTAGACAATTAGGATATTTGACTAATATTTTTTCCATTTTTATCTTAAATTCATGTATTATTATTTATTACTTTAATATAACATTTTTTTGATTGCGTTAAATAAGAATGTGGTATTGTGTATACATAAGAAACTTACATGACTTGTGTGTATATTTGGAATTTCATGTGTTGAAATAGATGATAGATGATTCTTGAAATAGATGTGGCTTTGGGTAATGAATTTTGCCAATAGTGAGTTCATCTACATATATTTTAAACAGCGAAGGCATATGTCATTATAGATGATTTCCATAAAGCCTGCTAGAGCATACTGCACTAGATGATTGAGGTCTCACATGATATGTTTCACACAAGATGAATATATTACTACATAGAAAGCATTATCTAGTGATATTTATCAGAGACTAATCACATCGAATGATGATTCTTATGATATGGTAGATAATTCATATATGATATAACTATGATGTACGCAAGTATCACATAAAGAATGTGAAAGTTACAAATAAAATGACAAATTTGACAATGACATGTGTGTGCAAGGTTGGACTTACTATCATGCTTGACGGCTCTAGATTCTAGAGCCATCAACGTAGAAAATGAGATGCATCTATCGGGGTACTTTACGTCCAAGATCTCATTAGCCCCTACACAACCCTCAAATGTATACACATGAAGGATACTTCAGTATCAGGTTTTAGTAAATCGAATTCCTTTCTCGCAAACGCTACATTTTATTTTTGCCTCCAAGAAGCAATTGATCCAAAGTCTTGGACGTAATGGAGCCAATGATATTGGAGAACATGACAAGTAGCACCGCGACTGTATGCTCCAAACCGAGTAACATGGCTGTGCGAGCTGTTCCACCAACGTCGCGACTACGTCGGTGGTCAAGAAAGAAATGGTAGGTGTGACGCGGTACAGACCAGTTCTGACCTTGACTGCAGTCATCTTTCCAAGTTTCAACCGCAGCTCAGATACTACGCAGTCGATCCTACTCGGTTGACGATCTAATTCGACGTCGTCGTGTCTGGCGCGCTCGAGCTAGCTTGGATCCTCTGCCCACTCGCGACGAGCGATCTCTCTCATGGCCGACACTGCTCCACTTGCTTCGGAGGAATTCATTGAGTACAGAGATAGTTCAGAGCAGGCGACCTGTGCAAGGACGGAGGACTGAGAACCAGGTCAATTGTATCGTTCTGGAGTTTTTGGGAATTTTTGCGGAGCAGTTGACGATAGGAAACGCGGAGGTTTGTCTTTTGATCCCGCTGAATTGCGACTTTTTACACGACGGAGACGAATGCGCGACGTAATTTGATGGTTGTTCGAGCTTGAGGCTACTTCATTTCAATAGCTCTGGAAGCTGTTGTTAATTTTTCTTGTTGCAGTCCAAATTGCAATCGCAAATCACGATCGACTGTTGCAGCAGAGCATTTTCCAAGACGCTGCCGATGGTTGGCAAGTGCGTACTCTCCCTTCATCTTCTTTGAATTTGATCATTCCGCCTCAAGAAAGTCACTTGATATTTACTCACAATTTTCAAAAAGCAGACTTAGCAGAGGATCGTGAGAAACAGATTCTCCGTTTGTTGTTTTGAACATCTTGAACCTCCCGCCAAAAATTTTCCGAATGGAATTAGACTTATCCACCTGCGTGCGTCGATTTTGATGTTGTTGATCTAGGAAGCAGAAATTTGGAATTTTTAGCAGCTCTAAATTGTGGAAGAAAATGCAACAGAGAAATTCAAATATTTCGTCTTCTGAGGTCATTCTTCTGCTGAAAATGTTGTTGACATTGAGAGCAAAGAGCAAAGGAGTTTGCCTAGGTTTCGAGCTCATCACTTGATTTTTTTTGGATCCCATAGGTGGTGATTTATAGAACGATAAATTTATCTCTGTTCAACTCTGAAGCACGTCCTTCAGGGGGCTATGTATTCTAGAGAAGAAGGTGGATACTGGTCGGTGAAACTGGCCATCAAGAAGACGAAGGTCTCTAGGTTTAGGTGTAAATTATGGAGTGGTAACCTCAGGCAGCAAGTTGAAATTCGAACGTCTGACAGGATTCCGATGTGTGTGCAGAGCAAGGCTCAAGACGTAGGTTTACGGTTCTGTGGGAATCAATCAACCAAGAATCAAGGCCTTGAATGGATGATGAGACCAGTCGATGCACAGAAGATCAATGCAGGATTGTGTATGTGCATGTGTTCTTCTGCGCGGAAGTTTTAGTGGGCGAAAGCACGGGGAGAGAAAGGAATGGAGATGGACACAGGTTTACCGGAGGATGACATAGATCATAATACTCATTCATCTGTGGTGCTTCATGTCGACCTTGACTGTTTCTACGCAGCTGTATGTTCCTATAAAACTGTGTCTTAGTCCTCTCTATTTGTTCAGTTCGAATGTCTCACTCAGAAGGAAAATTCTCGGCTTTATAAAAGAGCTCTTTACTCATAAGCAAGGACTACAACATGGTCATATGGTTCATTTTTTGAGTAATGCATGAATTACGAGAGGCGTGAGCTAAAATACTCGAAAAAACCTGAACAGGATGTGATTTCCATTATAGATTTATTTATACATGTAAGGAAAAGTTCGACGCATGGAAAGTATGTAAGATTTTCTTAACGGTTGTAGGTGGAGCATGTAAGGCTGGGTATTCCAAGGGAGGTCCCTTTGGCTGTACAACAGTGGGAAGGGCTGATTGCCATCAACTATGCAGCTCGTGCTGCTGGAATTACTCGCCATGAGCGCGTACATCAGGCTATGAGAAAGGTAAAAACTCGTGTGAAAAAAAGAAGAATTTTTTTCTCTTTGTTGAGATGGTATATTCGGTCGCATGAAGCAGATTAAGAACGAGTTACAAGATCTGCATAGAGTAGAATGTAATGTTGTAATCAACGAAATCCTTATCTAACGTGTACCAGACAGTTCTGGATATTGATCCTGGTTGCTTTTGAATCAGTGCCCAGAGCTTAAATGCGTGCACGTTGAAACCATTGGTGATGGAAGTGGCAATGTGGATGGTACGAGTAGAGGCCACGCAAAAGTGTCACTTGAAAGATATCGGCAGGTATAATCTGACTACGAGAATCTGTACTGGACGTAACCTACAACATTATTTACAGTCTGCAAGTAGAGTGAACGCCTCAAGGCCGAAGTTTTAGATTGTTGTTCGAACCTTTTCAATACTCAAGATAGGTTTTGTTGTTGAATCTCACGTCTTTTGACCGCAGGCCTCAGCTAACGTGTTCAAGATATTTCGACGGTTTTCTGACTTATGCGAGAAAGCGAGTATCGACGAAGCATACTTAGACGTTACCAGCAGGGTACCTCAAATTTCTCGTCTTTTCCCCATGAAATGACATGTTAATTGTAGAGGATCTTGATTAAGGATGGTGTCTCCAAAACTTTTGATATGCAACTTGAGTTGTTTGTTTACTTAGACACACATTTTCTTCCTGTAGGTGGAAAAGATGATGATTCAGGGCTGTAACTGGGATCAAGAATTACATCGACTTATTGGGAACCAAGAAGAGGGTTCAGAAATGATAGTGCTAGACGGTCCTCTGGTTCCATTCAATTCTTATGATCGAAGGTTGGTAGATCGATCTTTGAGGGTTATTTGAAGTTATCTGATCTCATCCGGTCCAAATTTCTGGCACCTCTTTAAACACTGCAGCTTGGCTGAATCTGGTTCTGCCTGAACCCGTAGCTTGGCACACTTAAACCCACGAATGGTTGTTCAATGCCTAGTTTTCTTCACTTAATTGAAGACATTACTCATATTCTCTGATCACATCTTAGCAACATTTCACCTCCAGTATCACAGGCGCGAAAACCACGTGTTTATCTTCAAGGAAACAAATATTTGGGCCATGAAAACTCTCTTTTATATCTTCTTTATGAACTATTCCGGAATCCGAATCTCACCTTTGGGAAGCAGGATGCTGGCAGGTGCAATTATCGCTGAAAAGATTCGAGCCGCAGTTCGAAGTGAGCTGGGTTACACCTGCTCAGTGGTACGTATAACGTCTAATCTGTGTCTAATTTCATGTATTATTCACGAATTGTGGTCTAGTGTGGATTGTTAAGTGGAACAATACTGTAAGGAACCATAAAGACCAGATTGCTAGTTCTTTCTTCGATTGATTTATAATTGGCTTGGCGATTTAAGCATATCTCTACCATGAGTTGACTTAGAGTTGATGCCAACAGGGAATCGCCACCAACAAGCTGCTAGCGAAAATAGCGTCTGCTAAGAACAAGCCTGATAAACAGACGCTGGTAATTTGCAATGTTGACAAATGGTTCTTTATCAATATTGTGAAATATGCAAATGCTTGCGGGCTAGATTTATGATTTGTGTTATACAGAACCCAAAGGTTTCGATTTCTCTTGTTCTCAAATTCATGTCTATACTTTCCATTCTGGAAACGTTCTATTATATTTGTCAGTTATTTCGATTCATTCTGGTTTGGTCTGGAGCAGGTACCTCCGAGAGCTGTTCCATACCTTATGCAGTCAATGCCCCTGAGAAAAGTGAAGTTGCTAGGCGGTAAACTTGGCGAGGTATAGCGAGCTTTGCCGACGCATAATAGTACGAGCTTGTGCTCTTTGACTGGGCCGTTCATTCAGCTTCGCTCTGGCTAAGTTTTCACGTCCCATTAGCTAGGGGGTTCTTTTGGTTCTCTCCAAGGTTGGAGTTTCATTGTTTGTATTGTGTTTTTCAGCCTTTTGACCCTTTGGGTCCCACGGGCTTGATCTATTTACCATTTACCAACTGCAAAGCTGTCAAATCTAGGGGATTGCAGCTTTTGAGAACGTATGCAGAGTTGATTGCAGGAAATGACTGAGAAGTGGGGTGTCTCCACAGCGGGCGAGGCACAAGCCGTTCCCCTTCCAGCCTTGGTGGGCTGCTTTGGTGAACGACTGGGGAATTACGTTTGGAATGCAGTGCGTGGTATCCAAAACGATAAAGGTTTGTGACAATCTTCAGAGCATTCAAGTTTGTCACAACCTGCCTCCTTTTACACACTTAAACCCTAGTCTCCGTCCTTTTCAGATGTGTAGCCCGGTCAGACATGTATCGTGTATGTTTATCCGTGGACGGCGTCCTCTACATTTGCTCTTTCAAAAGCCGAAGGTATTGAGTGGAAATTGCAGGTTATGCTTCATGAATGTGTCGTTGTTCGCAAAAAGTAAAGTTTTAATGAGTTAGACTTTCTCATGTTGGCAGTTCAAGTAAAGCAGGTGTCGAAATCTATGCTTGCTGCAAAGACTTTCCACTCTACCAAAGAGCTATCGGACATAAGGTAATGGATGGATGCAAAACGCTTAGCTTCACATGACGAGCTGAATTCTGTGCAAAATTAAATATTCTGCTAAGTGACTGTGAGTTTCGGTAACCTCCAGAAGTGACAAGGGATGGACTTGGTAAGGGCTTGCGGGAGTGAAAAGAGGGAAAAACATTGTAATTTTGTAATGTTCGGAGCTTGAACTTGAACGTTTTAATTCTATCAGGTTTTCCAGCTGGGAGTTTCGCGTTGAGCTCATCGTTCTTTATGCATCGATTTCTAGAATAGCAGTTGTGGTGTTTACTGGAGGTTTTTAAGCCGGGACAATAAGCCGTTTTGTTCGTCTTGTCTTTCTTAAAAAATGTTATTCTATTGTTTTTGCAACCTCACTGCTTGCTCTGTTTATCGTTTTTGGGCCATTTACAAGACTTTCAGATATGAGATTGTGCACACCCTTTTTTCTAACGTGTGGTTGAAACGAAGGGCTTTCATGATCTTTCCACTTGGTTAAGGGCTCACCTTCTTACTATTCTAAGAATTCACAGCAAATTTTCTTTTCGTCCTTCCTGCTTTTAAATTTTTCTTTAAGAATCTGCACTCATCTCTTGCACTCTATCTAGGAGATGCGATTTATTCGCCACATGTCCCACTTGGATCAATCTGTTGATTATTGGTGAATACATAGATTCGTATAAGTGGATCTATAACCGTAAATCCAAAAAGATTAAATGTTTGCAAACACTTTCTGATGTTGTCGTTTGTGTATCAATGAATAGGATGTGGCTGAGTATTTTAGCAGAGGAGTTGTCTGTCCGTATGCTGCGTGACTTCGAGCAGAATCATCGTCATCCCCGTCTACTACAATTATACTATCGATCTGGTGATTTCAAGCATTCGAGAGATCATACAAAGTCATGGTCTATGCCCCATGCTGCCCTCAGTCTTTTATCAGCTGGTCCAGAACCATCTTATCAAGCCACGGAGAACCCTAAGCATTACGAAGACCAAGAATTAAGACTTGGAGAAGACCATGGATTAAAAGTGGACTTGTTTCATGAGGAGAGCCTGCCTTTTGACAGGGAACATCATTATGACGAAGATGACGCTCATGTGGATGAAGACAGCCACGGAGAACATTCAAAGGACCTGCTGGGTCTTGTTGTCTCAGAAAAATCAAGAAGTCTTGCCAAAGTGCTAGGAGAGGCCTCATTCAACATGTTTAGGAGGCTTGAAGGAACGTTTCCGTGCTCTCGTTTGGCACTTGCTGCCGGTGGTTTCCATGAACTTCCAGCTCAGGTGAAAATTAACTTCTGTGTTCCCTTCTCTCCGATATGGTGATAGCAATTTGTCAAGATGTGTAGTTTTGATCTTACATGCTATCAGACGGGTAGAGTTAGGAGGGATTATTTGGCTCAGATGTCCGATCAAGGAATCGAGAGACTCTTACAGCTAACGCTCTTGACTTTTGATGTTGAGGCATAAGTCACCAATTGAAGCTATATTTTTTGTTGTGATTGATATTACATCCTCTACCTCTTCGTAGTGTAGATCTAGTTGCAAGGGATGTCACCTGAACATCATTTGGCCAAAGCTTTCTCTGCGGCTTTTAAATGTGAATTTTTATTTGTGTTCTTCGTTTCAAACTTTCAGCCTTCGGAGAAAAATTTGAGAACTAGTTACTTTGGTCTATTTGTTCTCTGTGCAGGGCACAAAATCTATACAACACTTTTTTACCAGTATTGGAAGAGGAAAGACTTCTCCGTTGGAGAACGCTCTGAGTAACGAACACAAGGAACGCAAGCCATTGAAGGCAAAACCGAAAGCGAAGGGGATGCTGAAATTCTTCAAGTATGAAGAACCTTCTGTAATTCTAGAAGAAAGATGCCAGGATGCAGTGGAACATTGGGACAATTTGCCAGATGGTCGTCATGTTGATAGAAAAGATCAAAGCGCTTTGTTTGACACAACTATTCGTGCCTCAAGACCAAAATCGAAAGGACTGCACAAGTTTTTGAGTCATGAGAATCGAACAATTCAAGAGGTTGGGAGTGGGAAAGATTTCAAAGACTTGGACAAATTGCACGATGAAATAGACTCCAATAAATTGAAGCCTTCAAACGAAGCAACTGATCTGACTGGCGTTCAGGTTGAAGCGACAGGAGGTCGGTTAAGTTCTGCCTTCGCTACAGAGTTGGATATTTACCAAGCAAAAGAACTTTTCAGGTGGATTCCAGATCGCGAAGTGGACCACCTATCTGGTTCAGTTGCGACCGGTAAGGAAGATGAAATCAGAGATCATCACCGGGAATGGCCAGGAACTGGCCTTCATGAGAAAGTGGAACCGTTACTAGCAACTTCTGGTGGAGAAAATACCTGTGAGCGAAGCTGTCATATGGACGTAGGCGAGCTGGATATGATGGAACAGAGTTCGGTACTCGCAACCAGACAACGCCCTAATCAACAGCCCACAATACTTGAACAAGAGGCACGGGCTGAGGTTGTGGCCACTCCTGTCAAGAGCTCCAGTGAGCCTTCCCTGAAACAAAAAGGGCAGTCGAAGGGTTTTAGTGTTCCCATTCCTGCCAAGCGGCATCGGCTGTCTACGTCAAAGAGAGGTCAACAATCAATTTCTAAGTTTTTCCGAACTCAAGATAAAGCTTGATTTGTATAAAGCAAACCAGACTCTTGCACCAATGCTTTTTTTGTCTAATATTTGAAAATGAACCGTGCTTTTCGTACTTTGATGGTCCGTGTGAGATAATCGACTTCTCTTCTCTTAGACAGCTTGCATCGTCCATGGTTACATGAACTCTGCATGTTCTCGTTCAAAATTTTCATACCTGCTGGATGTGGTCACCTTTTGGCTGATATTGATGCTTTTAACATGTCATGACATGTAAGAATGGTTTTACATAAGTGGCCAGCTGTTGGATGGTATACTGCTCTGTACATTTAAGGACAGAGTATGTCACAAACGATATTTGAAGTTCTAATATAGTTGATATATACTGTAGATAGTCTTCGATTTCAAAGTTATCAAAGGTGGCAACTTATCCTTATAAGGAGTCATAATAAATCCTACCCATTATCACAAATATTGTTGTCTCCTGACAGTACTTTTTGAAGATATTGGTACATACCTGGCTTCTAGGCGCATCAGGTGCCATGCATTCATTTGTCAGCTAAGATCCGTGTTTCTTGACGGAAGTGTAGTGCACACCTGTAGCCTTAAAGCGTACGTATACTGCCTCACTATGTCCTCGAGTTGCCTGATAATGTTTGTGAGTTTGGTCCTGTCAAAGTCAAGCCGTACTTCCGCTGGCCCTTGGGAAGATCTGATGTGGGCCTGTCCAAGGAAGCATTCTTGGAAGGACTGATTCCAGAAAGCCTATGGTCTACGAGGCGATACACAGAGTTCTGATTCTTACAAATAAATCATCACTGGCAATTGAGAGACGAATGAGTTATGACTTCAATGAGCCAGGACTGAGTTTTTCTCTTGTACCTGCTCAGGAAGAACAAACCTTTGCTCGAGAATAACGTATTCCGTGACCAATTGATGTCGTGACGTTCCGGAAAAGAGCAGCCCAAAAGCATACGGCCGGTGATAAAAACTTCCTCACATGTTCCACGGCAATGTTTACTTTTTGCATAGAGTGAGGAGATGTGCAATGATGGACATCGATTATATATTTTTATGAATTCAATAATATTGCATGCCCCTAGAAGCGGAGCACATGAAGGTCCAGGCGTGTGGATAAGAAGACTAACACGCGCGAGAGAAATACCTCCCTGATTTCGAGCTTAGATAATGCAACAGATATGAATCATCAGTGATGATTCATATCTGTTTATACCCATCGAGGACTAGCATCACAGCCAAGGTGGAAGGATGTAGCCGAAGGATGAGGCCTCCATGTACAATATAGTCCAAGTCCTTGCTAAAAAGTTAGCATATAGAATGGAGTCTCCCTCGCATTCTCGAATGGGAGGAAGACTCCACGATGAAAACTCCCTTCCCGTCTCTTTCTATTCATGCCTTGTAAATTGCAACGACCCCTTAACAACATCAGACGAGAAACGAGGCAGTTCAGATCTACGTGAGAGGAAGAAAATTATATTAGGATGTCAGAAATGTAAGGGGTTTTGTAGTTTGACGCTTCAACGCCTCGAAGGTAACACAAACAATCTTAAACTTCAAAGGGGAATGAAAGAGGTGAAAAGGGTTATCCGGTTTCTGAAGCTGGTGAGTCGAATCCTACACGTTGCATGTGAGTCACAAGCTCAATCCACGTGCCCACCTGCAGACCGTGCAGATGTGAGGCATATGCACCACAGGACATTCCTTCCTAGACACGTAAGCACATTCCAACCAGAGGGGTTGAAGATTACCCCTCGACTTGTTCTCTGCCACCTAGCACGGACGTGGCTTGTGCTTCCGGCCCGAGAAACTGTGAAGACCCATTCACTCAAGGGATGGACATTGTTCCTTGTGCAATGTTTAAGCTGAGCCAATGTCCTCATCCTGGGAAAACCTTACCTCATACATAATCTTGCCAGCCTCAGTCCATGTTCTCTGAAGGTCCTGTGAATATCATCAATGGCACATCATCATCCTAGAGATAGAGGAAGTTGAGAAGTTGAGCATTTCAGGGTCATAAACCATGGGGCTAAAGAAAGTGTCATGTGCTAGTTTATGCCTCAATTTCGTGTGACACGGCAGAAGGTTTTCTAAGCTGGCAGTCTCGTAAAAGCCGGCGGCCGAATGTCTCGAAATATGCAGCGCCTGGGTTTTGTTGCACGGGTCGATGGTGACTATTTTTCGCATGGCCCGTGGCAGATCTTGGCAACTTTCTTGTGTTCTGAACTTTGAGTGAACTTTCATGCACAGACGTCGAGCCATGTTAGTTAGTTGGCAACTTCAGATGCAACGCGCGTCATGGCATGACTGCTCTTGATGGATCGAGTCGAGAGAGTAGTTGAGCCTCCAGACTGTGGAATTGATGTTTATTTTATATATATAATGCATGCGTTCAATTTGACTCATGATCTTCACATGGTCGTTGTGTTCGTGAAGTTCTCGGCATCTTTTGGCTCCTGCATTTTGGGAACTCATTATCGTAGGGAACGTAGACATGAGCTTCAGAAGAAGCTCAATCATGATACTCCCGACGGCAGTGAGCTGCTGCACTGAGTGAGATAAGACATCCGTTCATGTAGGCCGCCTGCTGATGGAGAGCCCTACAACCATATCCAAAGTTCCTATCAGTTGATCTATACATATGCAGGCTTTTCGAGTCCATTCCAAGGTAATATGTGCCACGAAATCCAAAGGAGACCACGCTTCTCATGCTATTTGAACATTCCCTATTAGGATGCAAGAGTTTGTCCCCATGGACCACACTGATAATTGCTGAAAGCAGAGAATTGAGCAACTTCTGGAATGAGATGTCCTTTCACGCCGCCGACAAACATTCGTCCGCCTATAATTGTACTTAGACTGGGATGAAAAAGTCTCCCCACGCTGAAACGGAATCTGCAAACTTGTTTTTTCCTGTTTACTTGAGATGTTCTTTTTATACTCTCATCGTCCTCTCTAAACTTGGACGGTCACTAGCAACATCCTCGAGCTGTCGATCTGCTCACAGACACTAGGGTAGTGACAGCTTGCCTTTCTCGGTCAGTTGACACGAGTTTGCCGCATCAAATATACTCGTATCAAATACGTCTCGACTCCCGTTGTGCCACATGAGCTGACAGTGTTAATAATGTAACGATATCTTGAATTCCTCGTCCCATTCTATTCTATCAGAGATTATGAACAGATGCTGATAGGATGACCAAGACTATGAACTGGCGATTGAATATTAGCAGTTTGATCCTAAGTGTTAATGGGGGATTCACTCTCTGAAGCTGTTGAGGCTTATGCCAGGATGAGAAGAGCTGTACAAGGGTATCAGTAGAGCAGGGTGTACGTCGTGCAGAGCATGTACCTGGCTCGGATAGCAACAGGTGAGTGGCAGTGGCAGTGGATGGCTTGACAATGGCCGTGCCAGTCTGTTGCAGTCATGACCAGCAGCCAATGCTTGACGAGGATTTGTACCATTTTCTGGCGTCCTGTTATCAGAAAAAGTGAAGTACCTGGTACTGAAGGCTCTTGCTGTGCTTTAAGTGTAAGGTGTAAGCTCATGAGTCAGAAGCCTGTAATATCGACACTCCCTCCACGGGTCATGTGCCATGCTAATTCTCTCATGCGCACACATTCCATATTCTTTCGTGTAAGGTAGAGCATGAAACCGGCTCACGAATTCCCACGGTCCCTTATTCGGTTTGCGTTCCGTTAAGAGGGTGCATTGTGAACAGAAGAGTCATTAAATTCTTGAAGGCTGCCGGCCCGAAAGCGATCCGTCCCAAATGTGCGAAGGCACTGATGACAGACAGGCCATCACACAAGTCTCGAACTGAGGTGATGTACGAATTGTACGAATTGTGCAGTTTCAAAGCACTTATTCCCGTCCTTGGCGAGGACGAAAACTTCCTTCAAGGTGCAGACTCCTGTTTCTGAAACGTGTAGAGCCAAGGCTGAAGATGAGACCATGGATTGACAGAAGAACCATCTGCAATATGTAGACGATAATCTTCTACTGTGACATAATATCACAGTATATTACGAAGAGTATAGTCGAGAACGTCAGACCTTTTCTTTAATAAAGCTGTGATCAGGGTAAGGTCTTGGATTTGAAAATTTCCTTGGTTTCAGAAACATTGAACTCCAGGGAATGTTCTATGAAATCGTCTTCAGTGACCAGATTTTAGCTGTGATGGACCATGTCGTGATACTCAGTTGTGAGCTTGACTGGGCATCGGTGTTCAAACCTGACTCGGAGGGCCTGTTCCATCGTGAGCAGAATTCGGGGTTCGAACTCCGAGAATTAGATTCTTGGATTTTTTGTCCAAATTGTTCTTTCCTCTGTGGATGTCGTCTGCCCTATGCTATGCAGCTCGAGGACGCCATCGACATGGAGCCCCTCTCGAACCAAATAGGGTCACTGTTCAGCTGGCAGAAGGCAAGGACTTGACTTCGTTGACCATGGAGCTCTGCGAATGCGCGTAGAGATGGGCCCGGGCACACACCAAAATCACTAACGTGAGTCGTGTGTGTATGCAGAAAAGGTGAATCTGCAGTGACGAATGGTGAAAGCAAGACCCATGTTTACATGATAGAAGTCAACCTCGACTGCTCCGTATATTTCTCAGATTGGATTTCACTAGTAGAACTGTGAACGACTTGAATGGAGTCCAGTTGCGTCAAGTCGAAAGTCCACTCACTGCAAGAGAATGTGGAGTGACAGAAGCAAGAGCTCAGAGTTCTGGTACAAGAGGCAGTTTCTCTGATAACGATGTGAGAGTCCGAAGCTCTCGTTGTCCATCCATCCAGCTATGGCCGTCCGTCCGGGCCTGGGAGAACGACCAATGAGTCGACGAGGAGAGGTCGATGGCGAGACCAGAGGTTCGGACACGAGGGTGGACACGAAAAGTGTACAGTCGGTGCCCCGTACTAGAAGCTGACCACCACCAAATGCCGGCACGGGCAATGAGCCATGCACCGGTTCGAGTACCATTTCCAGTCACATGGATAAGTTACAGGATCATGCTTTTACCAAAGCTCTCTCTCTCACTCATAGTTTACTATTGTACTGATGATGTTGCTGACCAGAACGTACGACCGAGTCGTCGTCTCTCTCGAGTGTCGCTCGAGCCGGACGTTAATTTGTATTCCTGAAAAGCTGCTGCTGCAGTCGTTCAGGCTATCCAGAGTCACTTGAGAGCTCCAAAACTTCTTCTTCGGTTCCTGTGGTTTCATGAGTTTGCAGCTTCACTTTCCTCGAGCGTCAGAATTATTCTCTAGCACTTTCGAGGATGGGTTTCTATTCCTCGCTTGCCTCACCTCTAACCAATTTCTCTCCACTTTTGCACCCAACTCCAACTCCAACTATCTCGTTCATGCTGATGATTGCTACTTTTGGTAAGCCCGCATTGCGCCTTGTGTTCATCACCTTCTTATGAATGGCCCATATATTATTCATATTATCCACATATATCCATGACATGCGTAGGGTCGGTGCGTGTGTTTGTTTGTGTGTGCATTTTGTTTATTGAAACATTCTGTTCTAAATGATTTTAAATTGAAGCATTTGGAAACGTTTTAAAGTAACGCTGAAACTCAAAAAACGTTCAGAAATATTTTTATTTTTATTTTACAAATGTTCTCACGTTTCAGGTTTCTCCCGCATGTTCGAGAAAAAACTACAAACCATTCATTTTAAAATAATTTTAAGTACATTTTAAAACATTCTTTTCACAGAAAAATATTTAAAATGTTTCGATAATTTTTTTTGCTTTCGTGGTACACACGTGCTCCAGTTGCGGATACAACTTTCACATAAGTTGTTCACAACAAGGCTAAGAAAGGCTAACAACAACTAAGGTCTACATAGATTTTGTAAACATGAATTTGGTGTGTAATACGAAGGTTCGTATCGTAGCTCTTCAACTCGTAGAATCAAATTACACCAAACACATTGAATAAGAATGACGTATGCGATAAATATCCTTGAAGTGAGATCAGGCCATTATTGATGATCGTTGAAATCCTCGAAGAAAGGCTAGGCCATAATTTATGATCATGTGCTGCAAAGTCCTCAATAGCTCCAAGGCGCATGGAGTGTCGAGGAAGGTAAGAGACAAACTGCTGATTCGAAAGTCGGTGTTGCAAGTTGAGGAAAACCGACTAATCTTGCACAAGGGAATGAAACCAAGGGACGAGCATGGGCCTGGGGCCAGGAGCATAAAAAACAATATCTTGGTAGGTCGACATAGCTCTGGAACATCCAAAGGTGCATGTGGAGGCACGACTGAAGATGGTTGGAATTTCTCCCAATGTGGAAGCGCTGCTGCTGCTCAGACAGATATCCATCCAGCCAGCTGAGTGAGAGCAGTGTCAAGAGCCTGGCACTAGAATTAAGGCGCTGATTACAAGCACAAGGCGGAGTTAGTGAAAATTACGCGTGTTGGCTGGAGAATATTACGCGTGTTGAATGGCTCCAAGGAGATGCTGCCATAGCTGAGGAGGAGGAGGAGAAGTAGTCAACTGTGTCGAACTGAATGTCACAGAATCGATGATGATGCTGATGGATTGCAGATGTTGCAGATCGAGGATGGACTGACTGGGTCTCGAAGGAGTCGGAGAGTCAAGGACCAAGGCCCACGTCTTAATACAGCCAAAACATCTTGCAGCGAAACCTTTGTGGTCCGAGGACTTGCTCGCCCAAGAAGCGACTTTCGGATCGTATGTTTGTCGCTTCTCTCTCGAGGTTCCTCCTCACTGCATCTAAGGCGTGGAAACTAGAGTCAAGAATCTTTGACAATCTCATCCTCTAGCATGTGAAAAGGTGTTTGGTCTGCTTGCAGCTGAGCTGATGTGGGAAGTGAATTGCCACCACGAGCTGAGGAGAGAATGGTGTCTTCAATGTCAAAGCCCAAGCAAGGCTCTGCGTTGAGACGTGATGTGAAAACATTCAGGCAGGCAGGCCATTAAGAGCTTCACCTGATCGACAACGAGCAGCCAAAAGAGGTAGATTTGGGCTAGATTTGAGACTAGATATGGCCGAAAAGAAGCTGACGAGAATAAAGTCTGGATTTCGAAAAGCCGACTCCTCGTAATGGCACACAGCCTCCTCACCACAGAGCTCTTTCGATTCGTGCACTTCATTCAGGAGCGGAGGAAGTTTGAAGTTCGCGAGCCGCAATCACCTCACAATATACTGGAGATCAATTGGTGTTATCGAAAGTGCAAAGAGCTCCTGTTCCGGTTCGGTAAAAATTTCCACTCGGCGGAATTTCAGATGTTTTCAGCTCTCGGGCTAACGTCGACGCACACCATCACCATCCGTAGGCATATGCATGAGACGATTTGGATGAAGACATGGTTTGAAGACATGCTCTGGACTTTTCATCCACTTTCTGCTCCGCTTTGCGACTCTAAGACACGATCTGTAACGACAAATTCATAAGATGACGTACGTCACAAAATTCCTCCACCGGCGAAATTCGCTTCTTTGAATCTTCGATGAGATCTTGTCGACCCTCGAGCTCTTCTGAGATTCTTTCTTAGGTGTCTCGAGGAACTCCGCCTATGTTTTTTGCAAACATCAGAAGTCCCTGCCCGGAGCCGATGGAAGCAGATGGTTGTCGTCACACCTTGTTCGGATGCACGAGGGGCACACAATT